AAGCCTGAGTAGGTCCTGAAGTTATGTTCTCTTGTCTCATCTTCCTAAATGCTAGCATTGCAGGTGTTTGCCACCGTGTCCAGTTTACTTATTTTTTTTGTCAGGTACTGTTTATTGTTAATTACAGGAGAGGTCAAATTAGGCCATTTAATGTGTAACTTGAAAATATATTAAAGTAAGTTTCGTAGTGGCATTTCTTGTTTCTTTTTCTTTTCTTTCTTTCTTTTTTCTTTTTCTTTTTTTTTGGGGGGGTAGATTTTGCTAATATCCAATTTTCCTTAAGGTAATGTGTTTTTCTAAAGTACTCTAGGATAGAGAGCACTGAAGGTAAGCATTTTTAAAGAAACTTCTCAATAGCTAGATCACTGGGGTTTTTTTGTTTGCTTTTTGTTTTTTAGAATTTATTTATTTTATGTATATGAGTACACTGTAGCTGTCTTCAGACACACCAGAAGAGGGCATTGGATCCCATTACAGATGGTAGTGAGCCACCATGTGGTTGCTGACTCAGGGCCTCTGGAAGAGCAGTCAGTGTTCTTAACTGCTGAAGCCATCTCTCTAGCCCCAGCTAGATAACTGTTAAACAAAACTTCTCATATGAAATAAACTGAATATACTTGATCCTGAAATCTTAAAATAGAAGTGCAAAGGAGGGATCTCAGGTCAGGATGACTATGTAAGCATTTCCTGGAAGAACTCAGTCAAGAACACAGAAGTGTCTCATTCTTTAAGCTACTATGACAATAAGTACATGCCACATGTTCAGAATCTAGGAGGATCACTTTAAGCCCCCACAGGTTAGAGCTAAGCCTCGGTAGGCAACACGGAGGGAAATAGTCTGGCAAGAAAGTATATTTACAAACACAGCCCTTGACACCAGCTCAGATCCCAGAAAGCCTATTAGGCCACTATATTCCAGAAACTCAGGATTATGGTGCCTACTGCTAAGCTTGACAACCTCCATTCGGGGACCCACATGATAAAAGTTGTCCTCTAACATCCACATGCAGACATAAATAAATTTAAAAAAAAACCAGAATGGTAGTGAAAGCCAGATGTTTATTTATGCCAAAGCAGCACCAGCAATTATATTAGGAGGATCTGGAAAATGTAAATTCTGCTGCTCCTTAGCCTTCTTTTCCTGCTCAGCTTCTGTTCCTATGCTGATACACATATGTAGCCCTCTAACGTGAGTGAGTCTACCCATTCCATAGTAGCCTAATATGAACAAATTTTGAGCTTCACCTTGGCTCAGGAACCTCTAGACAGAATAGATGATGCCACTGAAGTGTCAGTAGGATGAAGGGCTGTTTGCTTTATAGAGAATATCAATAAGAATGTATTCACACCTATATTTCCTGTACCTAGAAACTCAGGCAGTAGGGTTGTGAATGAAGCAGTCAAAGCTAATTTAGAAACAGAAATCTGATGGTGGTATCAGTGGAGTGTGAGGCATTCTGATGGGCAGAGTCTACTGCAGTTGGGAGGAAGGCCTATTCCCTGACTCCCTCCCTATACCTTGTGTAGAGTCGAGAGGATAAAGTGTTCTGACCTTAGGTTGCACCGGAGTAGCTTGATTTGTTCACAGTGGAATTGCTAAAAGACTGTTGCATATGCATATAGAGTTCTAATATGCTAATGGTTCCTTGTCACAACCAAAAGTAGGCATGTACTGTATGTATGGTTGATGGGAACAGCCATATTTTACCTGTGTTACCTGTAATATGGTATTTCTGAAGGTGTTGCTATAAATACTTGCTGGTGGGATGGAGCTATGTGAGTGTGGACAGGTGTGAAACAGACAGTTGACTCAGGAAGGGCTGGGGAAAAGCAAGCTGCTGCCAGCTTCCTCCTCAGAGACTGGACTCTTGTTGGGATCCCAGAGAGGAAAGATATCTGTGAACCGTCAGTGAGAGAGCCCTAGTTATAACAATAAGTGACAATGAGTGGAATGGTGTGAGGCTACTGTACGGGTACGAAGGCATAGTCTGTGGATCGGATTAAAGCCTTCCCTTTCCACGGGCACCTCCTGAAGTCTGCTACCAAGAGCCCTCCCTGGGCTGGCCCTGGGTTCTCCTGTTGCAGTGTTGGAGGGAAGGATCTGGGGCCCGAGCTGGCCAAGCTCCCTCCCCGGCTATGCTTCCTCCAATCACGAGGAGGTGAGCGGCTGCCAAACACCTCCCCTCCGGGTGCTGCAGCAGAACGGCCAGGCCCTCTGCCTGGCTGGCTCACTCGAGCTGCGCTCCCCCTCCTGCCATCTTCCGTTGCAAAGCATTTCTGGGAGCTGCATGTGGGTGACGCAGCAGCATTGTTCGCAGGCACAGGAAGCCGCGGCTGAACTGAAGGGCTTTAGAAGGAGCTCAGAGTGCTCCACGCTGTTCTGAGTATCCTGAAGGGTTACAACAGGACTGCTCTACCTTACATGCTCTGGGAGATTCAAGATTTTCACGTAAATCAGGATTTTCCTAGAAGCAGAAAAGCTAACTCCTGCCGCACAACTTCAACACAGAAAACAAAACAAAGGCGCTGGGGAAACTTCACCCAAGAGCCTCAGCAGCTCCAGAGCAACAAGAAATGCAAGGTCAGGCGGTCGGTTGGCAAGCCCTTTCTGGTTTGGGGTGTGTATAACTGTAGAGACTTTGTCTCTTGCAAAAGGCAGAACTGCTTGCTGGGCGAGTCCAGGACAATGTGTGTGTTACTTGTGTTGTTTGAGCCGATGTTAACACTTGTTCTCTAACTGGTGGGATGTGCTTTGGAACTGGGTTGCTTGGCTTTGGGGAGTACTTACTGCTTGATCAGAGGCCCTCCGTTCTCTTTCCCTTCCTGTGTTCTCTGGGGTGTGGGCCTGTGTTTGAATGTTCCAAATGCCTGGAACCTAGATAGGCAGAGCCTTTCCGCACTCCACCCACCCCCACCCCCGCTCCCTGATCCTAAATCCCCACCAGGGAGTGGTGGTGGCTTTTTTACTAGGACCTCAGCTACAGTTTGTTGTTGTTGTTGTTGTTGTTTTTAAAATGAAACCATTGCGGACTTGGCCCCACCGAATTTAGGCTGGGAAGGAAATCTACATTTCCCTCCACACCCACACATACCCCAGTAATTGAGTGGTGTGTATGTTAACTGCCCCCACCTAGCACAGCCCACACAGTTTGTCTCTGCCCTTCTCTGTGCCCCCTACAAAAGTCTTGCAGGTGGAATTAAACTGTTCCAGTGAACTTAAGTTCCTTTTCTACTCTCTTAATCATAGGTCTTTCTGTGCAGTCTGCTTTGCTGAAAGTGGAAAGTCCCTGTTTGTGGACAGCTCAGTTCTCTCCCGCAGAGGAAATGGGCAGAGTCCTACTCCTCCCGTATGCAAAGTGGGGGAGGGGAGCCATGCACTCCTCAGTGCACATTTTGAATGGACCTGAATTTTTCACCCTAGGGAGATTAGAAGCTGGGACCAGAACCTTGTCCCACATGGTACCACACCCTGCCTCTTCACCCCCACACAGTATGGTGCTAGCATGAGGCTCTAGAATAGGGTGCCATAGCAACTTGAAGTAAATAAAATGACTGAAAATGGGATCGGTTTAGGAGAAGGTGTGAGGCATCTGGAGATTTGGTAAAAGGGGATCTTAATAGAGGAATCTTTCAGAATGTAAAGAGGTTTTGTGAGCCCTAATTTTGGAATTTAGACCATAACTGTAGGTTAAGGATAAAAATAATTAAAAGTACTGGTTGTGAAAATGCTTGTAAAAGATGACCCAAGCACTAATCCTTCTAGGTCAAAATTTAGTATTTGCTGAAAGTTAGTGTATACACTCAAAAGGCTAACCTTTCTGTTATGTTCTTTTGCTGTAGCATTCATTGCTTTGTGGTTCTTGTAGTCAAAGGGGATATTTATTCTACTAGGTGGTTTGTGGTTCAGAATCTCTTTCAGACGTAAAATGTCTCAAAATAAAGTCATCCAAATGTGATTCACTGGAAGCCTCTTACTGTCACATTATTCCTAAGCCATCCAAACTTTTTATTTAAAAAAATTCATAAGAACCATTGATCTAAGACTGTTTCTTTCCTATTAATAGTTATAAATGCAAAGTAAACTCTGCTTACGTGTGTGTGCACTGTGAACTCCCAGAGGGCATGCAGCTGTAATCAGCATTGGAACAAGTCTATATCTAGGGATATATAGCTCACTGTTAGAGCATTACCCTAGAATGTGCATGTGTGAGATTATGGGTTTGCTCCCAGTAATGCTTCCTCTTCTCCCCCAGAAGTAAGTCTTCTGTTGAACCAGGACGTTAAGGTTATACTGTCCTACTAATTTAATATTAGCCATTCATTTTGATGCCCTTTTGCCCACACCTACAAAATAGAAATAAAAACTAATAACTGCTGCTATGGAAAAGTGCAGAAGAAGGTGCACTCTTAATTCCAGCATAAACAGGGAGGCACAAATAGGAGAATCTCTACGAGGTTGAGGCTGGTCTGCAGTGAGACTTCCCAGACAGCCAGGATTATGTGGAGAAACTTTGTCTTGAAAAACAAAGCAAAACACCAACAAACAAAAAACCAGAAAAGTGCAGAAGTAATGAAAAGTTTCACTATCCTGTACCTGCATAGAATTGCTTGACAAGTAACACTGTAACACTATAGTATCTAGTTGCTTCAGTTTCTTAGAAATATATAGATATGGTGTTAAGAGCAAAGAAATCTCTGTCATTGTTAGAGTCTCACTGTGTAGCTCAGGCTGGCCTGGAGCTCACTGTAGATCTGCTTCCTCCAACCTAGAATTATTGGTGTTCGAAGGTTAAAGTTTCAATAGCAGATAGCCGTAGTCTGAGGCTTCTCTTTTCATTGTTGATGTACGTGATTTGCCTTAAGTCTGTATGAAGGGGAAATGCAGCCAACCTGTCCATCTTGTGTTCACAGGGCAAGGGTAAGGCTTAGTCTGAATGCTGTTGAGTGTGCTTGACTTTTGTGTTGACCATACTCAGCTGCTGCTTCTCTTTGATCCTTAGATTTTGCTGGAAGAACTTGCCAGTAGTGATCCCAAGTTAGCCCTCACTGGAGTCCCTATAGTACAGTGGCCAAAAAGGGATAAGGTAAGAGAATTCTCTGCTTGATCGTCAAGCCACTTAAGTTTATTGCCAATTTATCATTACCATTCTCGAATTAAAAGACAGCTAGACACAGATGGGCTTTGGTTGATGCCTTGATAGTCAGGAAGGGTTGTGCAGAGGCTGGTAGATGTCTGAATTTGAGAGTATCCTGGTCTATATTGTGACTTTAGGGCAGCCAGAGCTGCAGGGTGATACCTTGTCTCACAAAAACAACAAAAACTTAATAGGCCTGCATATGGTACAGGCCTTTCTTTGATCTCAGCACTCAGAAAATAGAGGGAGGAAGATTGTTAAAAGTTCCAGGCTAGAGTCGGGGCTGCGTAGCAAAACCCTATCTGAATAAATGAGGAAATAAATAAAATACTGATGGTTAATCATTACTTGGTTTTGTTCTGACTCATAGTTCAGGGTAATTGTCTCTCTTTGTAGTTGACTTAACAAAACTATAATGCTAGAGTTCTCACCAGATTCAGATGCTTTGGTATACATTGTTGACCAAAGTAGATATCATTATTCTTCTGACCCAGAAACTTAGCTAAATATGATTGAAAGCTAGTTTAGACCTGTACATATGTATCTAATACTAGAAGATTTGTGTTGTTATGGTAAGACCATGATCTTAAGAATTTACCACTCTCCCCTTTTTGAAACAGGGTCTCATTAAGTTTACAGAACTGTCCTTGAACTCATGACCTACCTCTACCTCCTGTGTGTTAGGATTACAGGTAGATTGCTATCACACCCAGCTAAGATTAAAAAGAATTTCCATCAGCAAATAAATTGTTTCTTTTTTCACATACCTTTGAAGTTTACTTCCTGTATAACTTTTTACCTTGCTGTCTGTGATCATGAGCCAAATAAGGCTTTTCTTCAATGTTTCCTACTTGAAAGTTACAAAGCCTTAACATTCTGGGGTTATTTAGGCAGAATGTTAAAAGTGTTGGGTTGAATATCTTCTTGGTTTTTTGAGATAGGATTTTTCTGTGTGTAGCCCTGGCTGTCATGTAACTCTCACTCTGTAGACCAGGATGTCCTTGAATTCAAAAGATCCACTTGCTTCTGGGCCCCCACCACTAACCAACTTAGAATAGTATCTTTAAAGAGCACCTCCCTCTTCCTGGGTGTAGGAGTCTCACTTGTCATGAGGGATTGCCTCAAAACAATTCAGTTATTTGTGGTTGTTGGATATTTCATGTCAGAAAATTATTTGAGAAATAATAAGAAACTAAAGAAATAAAAGATGTGGTTCTTATCCTTGAAAAGGTTTCTAACAAGGTGAATAAACACATGTTAAAATCATAAACATTGAAATTTACCCCACACTTAAATCTATTAGATACAGTATCACAAGTCGGGTATGCTTCCATTTAGAGTGATAATGAATAAGACTAGTTTCACCTTCTAGGATTTTTGCCATCCTGTTTAGGGGTTTATTCTGAGTTACCATCAGTACCATCAACACTTAACCCAGAAAACTTTAGGGAGGAACAAGTCTTAACAACTCTGTAAATTAAAGAGACAACAGAGTGTTAGGACAGGAATTAGCAAATTTTTCTGTCAGTGTTGAGATTCTGTATGTTTGTATGCCACACAGTCAAATTGTCCATAGTTCTATAGTATTTGAAAATAACCATAGATCCGGGCGGTGGTGGCGCACACCTTTAATCTCAGCACTTGGGAGGCAGAGGCAGGTGGATTTCTGAGTTCGAGGCCAGCCTGGTCTACAGAGTGAGTTCTAGGACAGCCAGGACTACACAGAGAAACCCTGTCTCGAAAAAAAAAGAAAGAAAGAAAGAAAGGAAGGAAGGAAGGAAGGAAGGAAGGAAGGAAGGAAGGAAGAAAGAGGCCATAGATAATACATACATAAATGAGCCTGGCTTTGTTCCAATAAAAAATTTATTTATTTATAAAGATTTATTTATAAAAATCTACTGTGGCCAGTTTTGCCTACAGACATCTCTTTGCCAAGTCCTAGGCCAGGCACATTACCATGTGATCTTCTGCCCTCTTCAGTTTGAGAGCAACTGGATATGGTTGACCTCACTGCTTTCTTTTTCCAGCTTAAATTCCCTACCAGGCCTAAGGTGAGGGTTCCTACAATTCCCATCACAAAGCCTCACACCATGAAGCCAGCTCCACGCTTAACACCTGTAAGGCCTGCTGCAGCCTCCCCCATTGTGTCAGGAGCCAGGCGGAGAAGAGTGCGCTGTAGGAAATGCAAAGCATGTGTGCAAGGAGAATGTGGAGTCTGTCACTACTGCAGGGACATGAAGAAATTTGGTGGGCCTGGACGCATGAAGCAATCCTGTGTTCTCCGACAGTGCTTAGCAGTAAGTGATCTGGGTAAAAAATTGTGTGTATGTAAAGATATATAAAGTCAGGGAGACTCAGCTAAGATGAGTTTAGAAGGAAGTTATCTTAATAAGAAAAGACAAGCCAACAAAGAGTGAATTAATTGCCTCTGATGGTCTCGTTCCTAGGCAACTAAGTCTTTGTCAGTCATTTCCCCACCAAAACCCCCTCTGCTTACTACCTTGTCTTTGTACATCCCAAGTGAACCAAGTCTCCTATCTTCATTAAAAGGGACTATGAAATTTAAAGGTTCAAAATCTGGTCTTCTGACCTTTGTCTTCTTGTAGCCCAGACTGCCTCATTCAGTTACGTGTTCTCTGTGTGGAGAAGTAGATCAGAATGAAGAGACACAGGACTTTGAAAAGAAACTCATGGAATGCTGCATCTGCAACGAGATAGTTCATCCTGGCTGCCTCCAGGTAAATAGATGCCTAAAGGCCCTTGACAAGAGAGTGGAATACCTGTCAGGAGAGGCTGTTACTATCCCTACTATGGAGTTTCAGCTGCCTAGTCACAGTGGAGAACAGTAGTAGACCATTGTTGAGGTGTCTCCTGTGTATCAGGCTGTCTAATAATTTTTAAGGAGAGAATGATATACAAAATAGACCATGGGACGTGTCCCAGAGGGCCCTGGACAGTGTGTTGGAAGTCTCCAGGCCATTGTAATGAAACTTAGAAGACATGTTTGAGGATGCTTCAAGCTCCTAGATGTCTCTGCTACATCCTTCATTGTATATAAGCTAAGGGGGGGTGGTGGCAAAAGTGGTTGGAGTAGGGGTGGGGGTTGTTTAGAATGTAACCTCAAAGGTGGAATCATATGATAGGGCTTAAATTATGTATTCCTAAAGTGCCCCAGGTGGAACACAGCCTTGAAGTTGGATCTGTCAAATTTAGGTCTCAGGTACATGAGTGACTGACACGGTGACATGCCTGTATTCCAGTTACTCTGAGGTGAAAAATTACCTTTAGGTGAAATTAGCCTTGGTAACATAGTAAGACACCACCATCCCCATCTCAAAGGTGGGTAGGTTGGTGTGTGGGTGTGTGGATATGCTTTTATATTGAGACATTTCTCCCTATGTAGTTCTGGCTCGTTCAGAACTCAATTTGTAAGTTAGACTGCCCTTACATTTTCTGAGATAATCCTGCCTCTGTCTCCCAAGTGTTGAATTACAAGCAAATGCCACTGTGTCTAGCTATAGACGCTTTGAACTTAGTTCTTACCACAAACCAGGGTTTGTGTTATTGTATCTCAAGCAATTGAGTTGATACCTTATTACATGAATTTATATTTTTACAGTTGAGAACACTGACTCACTGAAATATTGATCTCTGAATCCCATTAGTTAAATAGCAAGATCAGGTCTGGTTAATTGACATAAGATATTTAGGAGAAGAAACTCAAATCTAAACTGGCCCAGACCCTGAAAAGTCTCTTCAAGGAGCCTAGCTTTGGTCAAGCAGCCAAGAATCGAGATGGCTGAAAGCCAGCGTTAGCACTGTTTGTTGCTCATTAGCTCTCAGTCTTTAATTTCCATGTAGACCAGTATGTTTAGAAATGGATGACTCTTCCAGTTTTTTCCTACCCGTTTTACTGTTGATGTAGAAGGCGGAAGAAATAACTTTTTAAAACATCACTATCTGCCTATAGATGGATGGAGAGGGGTTGCTTAACGAGGAATTGCCAAATTGCTGGGAGTGTCCAAAGTGTTACCAGGAAGACAGCTCGGAAAAAGCCCAGGTAAAGGAAATGTTCAGTCTGGTAGGTTGCTGTGCACTGGCCTTTACAATTAGTATCCAAGGACTTTCTCTGACCCAAGAGTATTTTGGTTTTGTTTATTTGACATCTTTTTATCCTCCCATTTTGGTTATTCCCCTTCCTCCTTCAGTTTGTTGGGGTTTTGTTTGTTTGTTTTGCTTTTGTATTTTTTTGTCTTTAGTTTTTGATTTTTATATTACTAAATAACTGTTGGGAGTCCTGATGTCCTTTTTATTCTTTAGGGTACTAGAAAGGCAGGACCATCCCTGGGCTATTGAGTTGGAGAATTAGGTATGCAACTTTATCCTGAGGAATGTAACTAGAGGGGAGCCAGCCTTGGCCTGTGGGGCTGTCACTTACTGGATTCATATCCTAGAGGTTCCAGTTAAGCAGGTTTACTTTTTTTTTTTTTTTTTTTTTTGGTCATCTTTAGTTCTTTGTCCTTACCTGCCCCACGCACCCAAATGTGCAATTCAGAAGCAGCCATTCTACGAGAGTGGAGACCAGCTTCATGACCTTAGCCCAGGACAGCTAAGGTTGTTGCCCTAATGGTCACCAGTAGCATCAGTATGCCAAAAGGACTCTCTGGTTACTCAAGCTGGCAAGGATAGATCTGCTAAGAGCACAGACCCAGGAGATGGCTGCCTCCTGACAGTTCAGGGACCCTGTACAGGCATGAGGAAGAAGCCTAAAGGAAATTGCTTATCTTTTTATTTCTTCCACTTGGACTCTGTGGCAGTTGAAATTTTAGTTAAGATTTCATTTTTGTTTTTGTTTTGTTGTTGTTGTTGTTTGTGTTTTTGTTTTTCGAGACAGGGTTTCTCTGTGTAGCCCTGGCTGTCCTGGAACTCACTCTGTAGACCAGGCTGGCCTCGAACTCAGAAATCCGCCTGCCTCTGCCTCCCAAGTGCTGGGATTAAAGGCGTGCGCCACCACTGCCTGGCGTTTTGCTACATTTTAATATTCTGTGCAAAACAGCCTCTAGAACAAAGATGGTCATGGCCTCAGTATTAACCAAGAGCGTAAAGAGCAAAAGAAACACAGACCAAGAGTGTTGCTGGTGACGGACTATCTCCTTGTGGAAAACCTGACTTATTAATAGGATATTTAGAGCCGGGCAGTGGTGGCGCATGCCTTTAATCCCAGCACTTGGGAGGCAGAGGCAGGCGGATCTCTGAGTTCGAGAGTTCGAGGCTAGCCTGGTCTACAGAGTGAGTTCCAGGACAGCCAGGGCTACACAGAGAAAACCTGTCTTGAAAAACAAAAAAAAAAAAAACAAAAAAAAAATAGGATATTTAGTGGCATATGTTGACTGAGTCTCAGCATAGCCAAGGGTAGTCTCAGGAAAGGAGAAGTTTCTGGAAAGCACAGGTACTACAGGATGAGGTCTAGGCCTTGCAGGATTCTTCACCCATAATCATAATGAGGTCTCTGCAGTGGCATGGCTCCTGACACAGAACTGGATTGAGATACTGCAGAGTTTACACAAGTGGTAGAGTTGTAATGCTAAAATAGCCTTTATATCAAAGAGTTACCCAAAAATTGAGGTGCAATGGATATAGAATGTAGAATCGAGGAGCCTTATATTCTAGATTTCATTCCTTTGTACATGGCCACAAACCTTTTCTCGCGGGTAATTTTCCCAGGTGACCATTTAAGGATTTTGTGTTTTGAAATTAGCATTCTGTGGCCTGGGTGTGTGAGCTCAGTTGCTGATCTTGGCAGTCTGAATCACCAGCTTTGAGGAAACAGCCCCTTTAGGCAGCAGTGGCCTGGCTTCTCTTAGGTTCTACTTACTATTTTAAAGGGTTTAGGGGGAAAAAAGCACTGGTGTTTGTTTTCTATGCATTTTGCAGAAGCGGAAAATAGAAGAGAGTGATGAAGAAGCTGTACAAGCCAAAGTCCTACGGCCCCTGAGGAGCTGCGAGGAGCCCCTCACACCCCCGCCTCACTCACCTACTTCCATGCTGCAGCTCATCCATGACCCGGTTTCTCCCCGGGGTATGGTGACTCGGTCATCCCCTGGGGCTGGCCCCAGCGACCACCACAGTGCCAGCCGTGATGAACGCTTCAAACGGCGGCAGTTGCTGCGGCTACAAGCCACAGAGCGCACCATGGTACGGGAAAAGGAGAACAATCCCAGCGGCAAAAAGGAGCTGTCTGAAGTTGAGAAAGCCAAGATCCGGGGATCGTACCTCACTGTCACGCTACAGAGGCCCACCAAAGAGCTCCACGGGACATCCATTGTGCCCAAGCTGCAGGCCATCACGGCCTCCTCTGCCAACCTTCGCCCTAATCCCCGCGTGCTAGTGCAGCACTGCCCAGCCCGAAACCCCCATCATGGGGATGAGGAGGGGCTCGGGGGAGAGGAGGAGGAAGAGGAGGAGGAGGAGGAAGATGACAGTGCAGAGGAGGGGGGTGCGGCCAGGCTGAATGGCCGGGGCAGTTGGGCTCAGGATGGAGACGAAAGCTGGATGCAGCGGGAGGTCTGGATGTCTGTCTTCCGCTACCTCAGCCGCAGAGAACTTTGTGAATGTATGCGAGTGTGCAAGACGTGGTATAAATGGTGAGCAGGGATGCAGGGGTCAGGAACAGGGGCAGGGGGTAGTTGACAGGGCTTCTGTGTGCACCTTTATATTGGCTATGTGAACCTTAATATCAGCAGGCATAACTAGACCTGCTCTTTAGGTGCTGTTAAAGATGTAGTCCATTGTACCTGCAGATGTTAGGGGAATTGGAACCTTTGACTCTCCTGCCTGTCCTTTGTTTCCCTGTCTCAGCTTGGGGGAGGGGTTCCAATTTAAAGGATGGATTTGTACAGTTTGTGCTAAAACTTAGGGTCTTATAGGTTGTAAGCTTGTCTTCCCTCCCCTGACCTACCATTTGCTGGTGAAGAGTCTGTGACAAGCTGTGATTGCACCAAGAGGAGTGGGCAAACTTTCCAAAATGAATTTGAAGGTTCACTCTGGTTTCCCCTTCAGTGTTAGCTTCCAGTTTTAATAATCCCCAAACTTGAATTATTCCTTTCTTCAACAAGCAGAGCCCAGTCCTGAAGCTGAGACTTAATTATCTCTCCTAACAGAACATTACTCCTCCAGTTCAACAGACCTTTAGTGGGAAAATCCTTAGAGCTAATGAATGGAGAGGTTGCTATGGAGCATTGTGAGGTTTTCTATAAGGCTGTATAATTTTTATTTTGGTCACTATTACTATTGTTCCCAAAATTTGATGTCTTGACTAGCAGTATATGTCTGGAAACTTGTCAGAGTATGGTTATGCCAGAGTGTGGTGTTACATTTATGATACCAACATTCAAGAGACACAGGAAGATCTGCAGTTTGGGGTGAGCAAAGGCTATGTAGCTCCAGACCAATCTGTGCTAAAGCATAAGAAGAAAAGCAGATCCCCAGGCCTACTAAATAAGAGCCTCTGAGATGGGTCTAGCAGTGTACTCTGAGATATGTTTGTATGTATGTTTGTTTGTTTTATTTAAGGACTCCTACCATCAACATTTGGTGTGCTATCAGATTTTTGTCAATTATAATACGTTTGCCAATACAAATCTGACTTCTTGACTTAGAATTTATGTGCTCTGCCCAGATTATGTTAATTTCTTTTTGTCAAGCAAGTAGGCTTCCTAGTCGTCTTCTCTAATCCTTGGTTTCCAGGCCAAGGCATATAAGACTCATACATATTTCCTTGAGTCCTGCTAGGCAGGCTGAGCTCAGGAGTAGAGACAATAACATTGTAGAGTGTGGTGGAAAGGCCTCTCAGTTTTGGATGGACTGGCTAAATGTTAAGCTAGCAGGAAATCAAATGCCTTAGGGTGGAAGAGAGCTGTCTGGACTGATAGAGCGCCTCACTTGCCCTAAGACAGTAATGGGCTCAAGGCAAGATGCGGTGATGGGTAGCATTCTTCATCTCCCTCAGCCCCGTGTAACTATAACTAACAAGGGAAAGAAGAAGGCTAAGAAATTCTAGGCAGTAAGAAGTCAAAATCTTAAAACCAAGTTAAAGATTAAAGTCTACTTCTAAAAATTGTTTAAATGTTTCTGTACACTGTATAATAGGAGCCATACCATTTTAGTACAAAGGAAGAGAATACAGCATACTATTGTGTCAACTTGTCAAACCATGCCCAGCCTAGCCTCGATTTGCAAAGTGTCTAGTTATTTTAAGGGGGAGGGACAGTTTTTGCCTGACTCTGAGGTAAAAAAGTGACAGTTATTTCTGGTTTTCATAGGAGAACTTACAAGAAGGACCTTCAGGTATTGAGCCTTTACCAGAAACCTTCTAGCAGAGTGCCTTGGGAGCATCTTTAACAGGAATATCACGTTAGTTAAATTCTCTTCCCTCTTACAGGTGCTGCGATAAACGACTTTGGACAAAAATTGACTTGAGTAGGTGTAAGGCCATCGTACCCCAGGCTCTCAGTGGCATCATCAAGAGGCAGCCAGTGAGCCTCGACCTTAGTTGGACTAACATCTCCAAAAAGCAGCTGACCTGGCTGGTCAATAGGCTGCCAGGTAGGTGAACAGGCAGACCTGCTACTACTGTCCTAGGGTCCGGAGGACCAGCAGGAAACATGAGGCTGTTGTCAGTACTGCTTAGAACTGATGCAATGCAGTTTGGGGAAGCAGTTCTGTACACAAGACTGTTGGGCCATTGTAACTGCCAGTATGTAAGGCATTACTGGATTGATGACTGCACTAGATACAGAGAGAATGAGGTTAGGTTGCTACTGCCAGCCCTGCACATTTCCTTAGCATAGAAGAGGAAATTTGAGTCAGATTTTGCTTCCATTAGCTCTTTGTTAGCCCTTCAGCATCTTAAGGTTTCAGAAAGACAGAAGCTATACAGCATCTAATGCTCTAGTAGAAACTTAGTGAACGGGTCTTTATTTTCCTTCTTTTCATGTGTATGAATGTAGGTGAATGTGCATTTGTGTGTACATGGATACTAGAGACCTTGGGGCAATCTTCTACTTCAAAAGTTGAGGCAGGGTCTAACAGACACCCCAGAATTTGCATCTGATATGGCTAGTCTTACTATCCAGCTTGTGTAGATCCCCTGCTCTTTCTTTCTATACTGTAATTACTGGCAGGATGCCACATCCACCTGGCATTATGTGGTTTCTGGGGATATGAATTCTGATCTTTTCAATGAGTGTAAATACTTAGAATTTCTTAGCCATCTCCCTAAAGTGCCCGGCAGTTGGTGTGTGTGTGTGTGTGTGTGTGTGTGTGTGTGTGTGTGTGTGTGCATGCATTTTGTTTCAAGATGGTCTCACTTTGTGCCCTTGAACTCTTCAGAATTCAAAAGAGATCAGCCTTCCTATTGTTTCGGAGTGCTGGGTTTGAGTGTGTGCCACCACACCCAATTCCACCATTTGGGTTTTTTGTTGTGTTTGTGTGTCTGTTTGTCTTTTCCAGACAGACTTTCTCTGTGTAGCTGTCCAGGAACTCACTCTGTAGACTAGGTTTTCTGCCTGTCTCTGCCTCCTGAATGCTGGAATTAAAGGTGTGGGACACTACCATCTGGTGTTCCAGATTGGTTTTAACACCAAAGTAAAAGTTTTAAATTGGAGGCCTTGACACCATGAGAATCTTTAGACTTGGTTACTAGATTAGAACATAGTCCTCTCCCAGTAGACTAGAGATTCATTCGTTTTGCTCAGAACATCTGGTAACTGAGGATTTGAATTCTTTATAAGTAGAGTATGTTGTATGTCTTTTTCCATTTGTTGCAGGATTAAAAGACCTCCTCCTAGCAGGCTGTTCCTGGTCTGCAGTATCTGCCCTCAGCACCTCCAGCTGCCCCCTTCTCAGGACCCTTGATCTTCGGTGGGCAGTAGGAATTAAAGACCCACAAATTCGGGATTTGCTGACTCCACCCACAGATAAACCAGGTATGCTCTGGGCCTGCCTCACTTACCTGTCTTGACCTTTCTTTTTAGATGGAGCTTGAAACTTAAGTTCTCAGAATTAAACTATGAAAGATTGGAAGTATATAAGGCTAAAGTGCAGTGGCAGTCCATGTATAAGAGCTGGTTATGTACAAGCAAATAACTCAGCAAACAGGAAGAAGTAATGCTTGGTGTCAACAGAATCACAGGACTGTGAGGAAAGAAGACCCATTCCACACATCACTTTGGAAGTGAGGCCTACACTCTGACACTAAGAAGATGGAAAACTTGTTTCCTAGAAACGTCCCTGTACTTTGTTCACTCCCTACAGGAGGGATTGAGTGTGGGCAGTTCTGCTTAACCCTGTCAAGGGAGTCCTGACCAGTACATAAGTGCTGCCACTTGGGGCTTTAGTAGAGAATTCAAAGTTTTGATCTAAGTTCTTTTCTTGCCTGTACAGGTCAAGACAATCGAAGCAAACTCCGGAACATGACTGACTTCCGGCTGGCAGGCCTTGACATCACAGACGCCACTCTCCGACTCATCATTCGCCACATGCCCCTTTTGTCTCGACTTGACCTCAGTCACTGCAGCCACCTTACAGATCAGTCCTCCAACCTACTAACTGCTGTCGGGTCTTCCACTCGATACTCCCTTACAGAGCTCAATATGGCAGGTATGCTATCTTTGTTTACATGAGGTGATGTCCCTGATTTCTGAACCATGTCCATATCTGCATGGGGATAGAGAGCTGGATCGTAAACATCTGTAACTCTAGTGCCTAAGGATCTGACACTGTCTAGCCTTTTGTCAGCATGCACACGTATGAATACAAAACAACTTTTTTTTTTTTTTTTTTTTTTTTTTAGATTTGCAGCTGGGCATGGTGACAAACACCTTTAATCTAATCCCAGTGTTTTGGAAGCAGTGGAAGGTAGATGAGTTTGAAGTCAGCCAGAGCTATGAGTGAGACCCTGTCTCAAAAAAATACATAGAATAAATTTTAAAAATTTACATCTGGCCAGTTGTGGTGGCACACACCTTTTTAAATCCAGCACTTGAGTTGCAGATGTAGGCATATCTCTATAAGATCAAGGCCAGCCAGAACTTCTTAGAGAGAGACTTTCTCAAAACAAGAAAGTTGTATCTGCATGAGAATAAGAGACTTCTCTATTCCTTTTTTAACCAAAGAACTCTGAGGTGGGTAGTACAGGCCGGCACCTGCATGTTTGGCTGCTGTCCAGCTGTAGTTTGGTCAGCTAGATGGCCCTGGTACTGCTCGCTTGCCTATGGTCCTTAGAGGCAGGCAGCAAGGGGCCACAGTACTAGTAAATGGTAACCCTGGTATCTCTGCTTGGTGACAAAAAGAGCACTGAGAAAGATACTGAGATAACAGAGTAGCAGAAACGGGCCTCTGTGACTGTGTTTGTGATCTTTGTTCTCTTGGCCATATTGCCTACAGGTTGCAATAAATTGACAGACCAGACCCTGTTCTTCCTAAGGCGAATTGCTAATGTCACCTTGATTGACCTTCGAGGATGCAAACAGATCACAAGAAAAGCCTGTGAGCACTTCATCTCAGACTTGTCCATCAACAGCCTCTACTGCCTGTCTGATGAGAAACTGATACAGAAGATTAGCTAAGACATGCTCAGCCCAGACTGATCAGGAAAATCTTCCCCTGCCTTCCCACCAAGGAGAGTCTCTCCCTGACCCTACGCAGGCTCTGAGGCCAACGACACATTCCCTCTCTGCTCTCTTTTCTCTGAGCCCTTCTCCCACAGGTGGGGCAGAGAGGTTGATGGACATCAAGGTTATTGCCTGCTCCTCTCCCTCCCAAGGAAAAGAGAGGAGAGGTTGATCAAGGAGAAAGCACAGGCTGTGCTATCCCAGTACCTGCTTGCTTGCTTGTCTGCCAGCTAGGAAGCTGGGCTCTCAGTTTGGGGGAATTTGTGCATCTTTCACCTGCACTGGGCCAAGAACCCTCCCTTCTCATCCATAGTCCCCAGCAGTGCCTGGTTCTAAGCAAACTCTAGGGAGGAAGGCGACTTTGCCTCCATAGCCAGATTCTCCTCATGGTGTCCGTTGCGCATCTCTCCTCCGTTAAACTCTCCCGGCTTCTGCAGGAAGAGCCAACAGCCCTAGAAACCCCAGGCCTGGCAGGTCTCACTGGTGCTGTGAGTTGTCTGAAGCGTTGTTCCATGTCTGTCAGAGCCCTTTTTTCTTGTCCCTGAGCTTGATGCTGTCCAACACTCATTCATATCATACAGTCTCCATTCTGCCATCACCCTGAACTTTTCCACTAGTCACCCACTTGTCCATTGTTGCACTTACTTGGGGTTATCAAAAGCTCTTCGGAGAAGCTGGAACTTGCCCCCAGAAATGCCCATATCATTGCTACCCAGGCATATTCTAAGACAGGCATCATTACCCTTTCCCTCCCATTGCTGCCCACCAACTGCCCTTTTCCATTTGTCCTCTTTCCTGCCTGAGCAGGGCTTTTCCAGAGTTTGTGTCCTCAGAAGGAGCAGCGTGTTTCTCCAGGTGGGGGAAACAGAAGGCTGCTTAAATCCCCACCTGCCTCCAAGCCAGGCTTTTCTGGGCTCTGGTTTAGCATGGCCCTCTGAGCCCAGGCCTGTGTATAACCTAGCAGCTCACTGACCTGGTGCCTTTTAAGGGGAGTCCTGATTGAAAACCTACCCTCTGCCTGCAACCTTGGAAGTGTGTGTGCATGTGCCTCTGTGTGTCTGACTAAGTGTGCTGCACATATGTGCAGGGAAGGAGGGGAGCATGATGTCTCCCTCTCCTCCATTGCCCTTCTTCAAGCCCCATCAGCTGCCCCCTTTTACTTTGCATTGAACGGCCTGTCCAAAGATCCTCTCTCTAGGGCAGCAGAGAGCTTTTTGCACTTTAAAAAAAAAAAAAGAGAGAAAGAAAGAGAAAGAAAGAAAGGCAGGAAGAAAGAAAGAAGGAAGGAGGTCAGAACTATTCTGGGTATGAGGAGATGCTCAGCAGAGGCCTGTGGCCAGAGTTTGTCAGTGATACATGCAAATTTGCACTCTGCTCCCCATCTATAGGAGATTGATAATTGATAGCACAGCCTTGCCCCGCCTTCTCTTAACCCAGAACATACCCCTTCCAACTTTTCACCCCATTTCCTGTAATCTAGCCTCAGACTTTCCTAAACTCCATCAGGAGGGGACAGAGCCCGGGCACCATGAGTCTGAAATGTGACCGCCCAAGGAGAGATGCTAACTGTACCCTTGCCACTGCCAAAGCAATAGAGGCAGAAGTGTCCCCTCTGCCACTCAGCCCAGCTTTGACCCTGGCAATAACCAGACTTTTTTTCCAGGGAAACTGGGTTTCTGGCAAGGGGTGGCATTGTTTCTTCCAATCTGCTGATTTCTCTTGGCTGCACCTTAAAAACAGCAGTCTGTTCCCTTGACCCTCTGCCATTCCATTGGTCTTCGGGTCCCAGAATTCTGGGACTGAAATGTTGAGGAAACGCCAGTGACTTATTCCAGAGTGCCTCAGTTGGGGGAACTTCTGTAAAGAACCCTGGGTGTTGAGCAAAAACCTTATTAATCCTATTAATGACCTATAATTAGAAGCTTCCTGACTTTTTTTTTCTTTTTGGTTGCTCCTGTGGAAAATACTAAAATACTAAGTTTTGTTTGTTGTCTTTTTATGAAAGGGGAGGTGGAGAGACCCTTTCAGAGCAGGGATTGTGCCGGGAGAGTGCCTCTGACCTTTGGGACAGTTCATCCACAGAAATGTCTAAGCTGATGGCTTGTCTGGGTTTTGGTCTTTGCATTTGGATTTAGAAAAAAAACAGCGTTTTACTGCACAGAAATGTGTCAGTTGAAAAGGGAGCTCAGGATGGTGGCAGATGGACTGAAGCCCTTGCTGGGTCTTACTTTTCTTTAGGACTATGAGGGAGAATGATTTTTAGAGGTGAGAGTTGGTCCTTGCAAAAGAGAGAAGTGTCTCTGAGGACATAGAACACACAAGTTCATAGTCCTGCATCTACTAGCTGTGGTCTTGCCAGAGCCTGGCCTCAGACTGCAGGACCAGACCTCTGCCTTCATCTTTCCATGTACTGGGGCAAAAAACCACAAAGGAAAGGAAGAAAATTATATATATATAATTATATATATATAATATAAAATCACTTGGTGATTAAAAAATAACTGCTCAATAAATAAAACTCCTAAAGTCACTATGTTTAAAGGGTTTGGTTTTTTCCGGGGGGTGGGAAATACTGTAAATATATATTTTTTGTTGCTTATTTAGAGTCGATCTCCAATGTTGTGCTAAGATTTTTAAATTAAATGTAAGCATTAAGGGAATGAGTCTTAGGCCACCAGCTGACATATTGGCATTATTTTGGGTCAGGGAAGGAAGAAAGCTAGTTGGACTTTGTTTTCTAAAAGTTCCCCACTTGGTTTTAGAAAGCGCAAAGATGTCTTTCTTCTGACACTTGGGAATGGGAGATATTTGTGTAATAAAATTTTTAAAAGACAAAAAAAGAAATAGCCTCCAATGGGAAATATTTTGATTTGGTTTTCTTCTTTGTTTTTGTTTTTAAATAAAAAGACTTTAAAAACAAAAACTAACCCCTTTCTCCTTTGGTGTATGTGTATGTCTATGTCTAAGAGGATGTCAGAAGGTCATACGGACATGCTGGTGTCTAGCTAAAACCAGGGAGTGCTGGCCCCACCCTCTGAGAAACATCTGTGGTACAAATTTGTATACTTACTAGCTTTTTTTTTCTTTTTGGTTTTTTGAGACAGGGTTTCTCTGTGTAGCCCTGGCTGTCCTGGAACTCACTCTGTAGACCAGGCTGGCTCGAGCTCAGAAATCCACCTGCCTCTGCCTCCCAAGTGTTGGGACTAAAGGCGTGCACCACCACCGCCCGGCCTTACTAGCTTTCTTAATGTCAGAAAGCAACACTTGCTCCATGAAGTTAATCTTAAAAAGTATGTGATTGCAAGCATGTACATATACCATGGCATACCGCTGACCTGAAGAGGTCAGAGGGCAGCTTGGAGGAGTCTGTTTTTGTAACCATATAGGGTTCTATTCTTGTAAAGGTCAGAGGACAGCTTGGAGGCATCTGTTTTTGACACTTTTTTGTTTGTTTTTGTTTTTGTTTTGTATATGAGTGCTCTGTCATGTTTGCATGCCAGACAAGGGTACTGGTCACATTATAGATGGTTGTGAGCCACCATGTGGTTGCCGGGATTTGAACTCGGGACCTCTGGAAGAGCAGCCAGTGCTCTTCACCATGAGCCATCTATACAGCCCCCTAGCCCCCACCCCAAAAGCAAACTTTTTAATGGATATGTAAGTATTTTATGTGGTAAGGTTAAAGGACCTCCCTAAAAGTAAACAGACTTAGAACAGTTCCTGGGAATAGCCTTGCCATTTCTGACCTCTCCACCCCAATGACGAAAACCAACTTCCACATGCTGAAGCCACAGACCAGGCACCTCCATGAGGTTAATGCCTGCCTGAAGCCTCCAGATGGCCTGTGGCTGGCATTTATCCCAACTCTAGGTTAACCATGTGACCAGATCTGTTGCTAACTCAGCCTCTAGAGAAGCACTGCCTGCTGCCAGAAATCCTCACTATCTCAGAAGGAATGAATTCTTACTCATCCTGCTGCCCTAAGCGGACACTCCGTTGTATGCTTTAGAAACCAGTGGAACACTGGTTAAGTTTCCTGATGATGAGCTATTTGGGTGTTAGCAGAGAAGAGGGAATTGTCAGTTGTACCTCTTTTCTCATCCTTGCCACCAGAGTGGAAGCCACCACTGTTTAGGATTTCAGTCAGCCACAGCCTCTAGTCCAGAGCTTCTTAACCTGTGGGTTACAGTCCCATCGGAGTGGCCTAAGACCACTAAAAAACATTTACATTATGACTCATAACAATAACAAAGTCACTGTTTGGAAGTAGCAACAAAAAACAGTTTTATGGTTTGGGGTCACCACAGTATGAGGGCTATATTAAAGGGGTGCAGCATTTGGAATGTTGAGAACCACTGCTTCAGTCCAACTCGGGAGCAAGAACGTTTGTTTTGTTTTGTTTTTTGAGACAGGGTTTCTTTGTGTAGCCCCGGGTGTCCTGGAACTCACTCTGTAGACCAGGCTGGCCTCGAACTCAGAAATCCACCTGCCTCTGCCTCCCAAGTGCGCCACCACTGCCGGCTTTTTTTTTTTGGGGGGGGGGAGCAAGAACATTTCAATGACTGACCCAGGTGGTACATCATGCTTAAAACTCATATATTGAAGAGTTAGGTGTGGTGCTTGCATTCCTTTAATCTCTGAGTTCAAGGCCAGCCTGGTCTGCAGAGTGATTCCAGGACACCCAGGGCTACACAGAGAAACCCTATCTTTTAAAAAAAATTTTTAATTTACAGTTTTTTGTTTTGTTTTTGAAGAGTCTCTTTATGTAGCCTCGGCTATTCTAGACCCCTTATGTAGACTAGGCTGGCCTCAAACTCAGATCCACCTGCTTCTACTTTCCTAAGTGCTGGGATTAAGAGTATGAACCACGCCGGGCGGTGGTGGCGCACGCCTTTAATCCCAGCACTCGGGAGGCAGAGGCAGGCGGATTTCTGAGTTCGAGGCCAGCCTGGTCTACAGAGTGAGTTCCAGGACAGCCCGGGCTATACAGAGAAACCCTGTCTCGAAAAACAAAAAAAAAAAAAAAGAGTATGAACCACTATGACCAGCTAATTTGTGTGTATATACATTTCCTGTGTATATTCTGTACTGTACGGATGTTGGGTGTCCATGGAGGCCAAAGAAGAATCAGACTCTTAGAACTGGTGCTACAAATGTTGTAAACCACCATATGCATGCTAGAAATTTAACCTAGGCCCTCCAGGAAGAATAACCAGTGCTCTTAACTGCTGAGCCATATCACCAACTCCCGATTTCTAATTTTTGGTTATGTATATTATGTATGTGGATGAGTATGGTTTATGCATAAGGGCAATGCCCTCCAGCCAGAAGAAAGCATTGGATCTGGAACTGGGATTATGGGAGTTTGTGGACCAGTGGACTTGGATGCTGGGAATCCAGTTCTAGTCCTCTGTAAGCAATATGTGCTCTTAACCACTGAGCCGTCTGTCCAGCTCAGAGCCTCCTATTTGTGTGTGTGTGTGTGCGCGCGCGCGCATGCGCGTGCACATGTATGCGCAGCGCTCCTCGCAACTGGAAGGAGGTATACGTGCGTGTGTGCTTTGGGCCCAGAAGAAGACATCACATTCCTTGGAGCTGGAGTTACAGGCATTTACAAGGCTTACTAGGTACTGGAATGTAAACTAGGACTCCATCTTTATATAGTAAGTGATATTAGCCAGTGAAACCATCTTTCTATTTTATTTGCATAGGGCCCTTTATTTGGGGTTTGGGGTGGTCCCTGTTCCCCCAGGCCAACTTTGCTAAGTGTGGCTTGAATATTGGCTGCCTTATACTCTCTGGATGCAGTATTCTTCCTCTTCCCTACATATTTCCAGGCCATAGATATAGTCCAAGCCAGCACGGAAGCTGGAAGCCAGAGAGCACTAGGACTAGTCCCCTACCTTTCCCTCTCCTGTCAATTCCTCTCTAGAGATTGAGTGCAGAGATTGCTGGTTGCTGACTCCTATGAGCCAGGAGGGTGCTGGAAGACAGTAGTGCACCTTGAGAGACCCAAGAAAGGAAAAGTAACAGAGGGCAGAGGAGAAATGAAACAAAAGATTTGAGAGGATGCCTGGAGAACAAATAAGACAGAAGACTCCAACTGGTGGCAGAGTCAGCAGGCTAAGATTCTACCCTACCCAGAGCTTTGCACATCATTTTTGTTCACCAATGCTGGCTCAGAAAGGGTAAGTAAGAAACTATGAAGGCACTGTATGGGGTTAGTAGAAGATAGCTAGGGGCTGGAGAGATGGCTCAGTGGTCAAGAGTACTGACTGCTCTTCCAAAGGTCCTGAGTTCAATTCCCAGCAACCACATGGTGGCTCATAACCATCTGTAATGGGATCCGATGCCCTCTTCTGGTGTGTCTGAAGACAGCTGCAGTGTACTCATCATATACATAAAATAAATAAAATCTTTAAAAAAAAAAGAAGATAGCTATACAACACTTCAATACCAATATGCAGACTACCAGACAGTAAATCAAACATTCACAAGCCAGATGTGTCCAGTCATAGAAGGAACCTCCATGAACACTACCCCAATAGATTGACTTAGGGTACAGGAACATATGTGCATTAAATCTGGGAGGGTGAGTATAGGTGGGACCAAAATTAGGGCAGGGCTGAGGCCAAAACTAGGGGTGTAGCTGAGATCCAGAAGATTGAAGCTAGAATCTTAGCCTCTGCAAGAACTCTAAAGCAGGTTCCACCTCCACAGCACTGTTTATCATTGAAGGAAGTCGGAATAAGAACTCAAACAGGGTAGGGACTTAGAGGCAGGAACTGATGCAGAGGCCATAGAAGTGTTGCTGATTGGCTTGTTCAGCTTGCTTTCTTATAGAACTCAAGACCACCAGCTCAGGATGGGACCACCAGCTCAGGGATGGGATCACCCACAATGCTGGGCCCTCCTCTGTCAATAACAAATTAAGAAAATGCCTAGCTGAGCGGTGGTGGCACACGCCTTTAATCCCAGCACTTGGGAGGCAGAGGCAGGCGGATTTCTGAGTTCGAGGCCAGCCTGGTCTACCTAGTGAGTTCCAGGACAGCCAGGGCTACACAGGGACACCCTGTCTCGAAAAACCAAAAAAAAAAAAAAAAGAAAAGAAAAAAGAAAATGCCTTACAGCTGGATCTTACAAAGGCATTTTCCTCAAGTAAGATTTCCTCTTTCCAGATAACTATACTTTGTCAAGTCTACAGAAGACCAGTTAACAAACCACCAGTGGTAGCATACCTTTTTTCCATCACTACTGGGGACGTAAAAGAAAGATGCTCTCTGTGAGTTCAAGGATAGCCTGCTACATAGTGAGTTCCAGTTTAGACATGAGACAACATAATAAGACCCTCTAAAATACACACACACACATACACACACACACGAAATAATTCTGTACAGGATCACTTGCCTAGCATGTGAAAAGATCTAAATTGTTTATTTCATGTGTATATATGTTTTGCCTACATCATGTATGTGTACCATGAGTGCCTGCTGCTTGTGGAGGACAGAAGATGGTATTACGTTCCTGCAGTTACAGAAAGTTGTAGACTGCTATGTGGGTGTTAGCAATCAAATCCAGGTCCTCTAAAAGACTGCAGCGAGTGCTCTTAACCACTGATCCATCTCTCCAGCACTGAAATGTCTTGAATTCTATCCCCTGAACTGGAGGAGAAAGGAGGTAGTAATTGGTTCCCATCTCTGGGAAAGCAGAAACAGGAAAATTGTCACACAAGTTCGAGGCCAACCTGAGTTGCATGCTGGCCGTGAGGGATGTGGCGCTGACCAGCACAAACAGGAACATAAACGTTCAGAAAGCAGCAGGCTGAGCAAGAGCCAGTCGTA